CCTTTCTGCAGGGCTGCTCTCCAGGCATTTGTCTCCCAATTTATACTTGTGCACAGCATTACTGTGCCCCAGGTGCAGAATTCGGCATTTGTTCTTGTTAAATTTCGTGTTATTGATGATTGCCCAAAGCTCCAATCTATCTAGATCCCTCTGCAAGGCCTCTTGTCCCTCAACAGAGTCAACAGCACCTCCCAGTTTGGTGTCACCAGCAAGCTTGCTAATGGTGCATCCAACTCCTGCATCCAGATCACTGATAAACACATTGAACAGAATGAGCCCTACAACTGAGCCCTGAGGAGCACCGTCAGTGACTGGTCACCATCCAGATGTAGCCCCACTCACAACAATCTTTTGAGCCCTGCCCTTCAACCAGTTCTTCACTCAGCGCACTGTGTACCTGCTCATCTCACTGTTGAACAACTTGTGCAGAAAGAGGCTGTGAGGGACGGTATCAAAGGCCTTACTAACACAGAGAAAAACTACACCCACTGCCTTCCCTTCATCCACTAGGTGAGTGACTTTATCATAGAAAGATGTCAAATTAATTAAACAGGACTTTCCCGTTGTAAACCCATGCTGACTGTGCCTGATGATTGCATTGTCCTTGAAACACTTTGTATTAGTACCCACTATGATCTTCATAGGTATCTACAATCAAAAGGTTTGACTTCTGCATTCATCCAGGAATGTAGAATTACTGCATATCTTCTGCCTCCTCCAGCACATATCAGATATTGCAGAGTATTAAGTCATTCAAAGGTTTTCGACAGAAAGACATTTTTTATGGCTGCAGGCTTCCAAAGGTCCAGTGTGTACTTTAAACCTTGAAAGCTTTCTTTTTTAATTCTTGCAAGTTTCCTTGACTTTTCAGAAGAAACTAAAGACATAAAACACTCACTGAAAGCATCAAAATACACTGTGAACAAGTTTGGAAATAAAGGAAATTATTGTTTTATTCATGAACATCAAATAAGCATAAGTATTTGTGGCCTTCAAGCTTATGTTAAAATAGTAGCATAAATTTCTTAGAACCCAAGCCCACAGAAGTCACTGGGACAGCTCTAGCAAATTTTACGGCCTTTGGAAAGAGACAGGAATGAATTTACTTAATAGATTCATTGGATCAAGTCATGTATCACTTGATAGGTGATTTGGATGGAGCTATGCCTCAAACTGATTCGATTCCGTCCACATTCACACACACAGAGACACAGTAAAATGCATCCTGCTGGGGTTTCCCATTGCACATCTTCTGAAAAGAATGACTCTGTTAGGGGTTCCTCCACCTCTTCTTCAGATAACCAGTAAAAGCATGTAGGACTGCTTCTTGAAATCTGTCGCTGTGGAATACCCATAAAGGGACAAACTGCAGGACACATGCCTTCAGAATAATCAAGCAGAAAAAATACAAAGGCAAAGGGTTATAGAAACCTCTTGAAAGAAATTAAGTGAGTGTTCAGCAAGGTCACAGAAAACAGTAAATGCAAAAGCTTTTACTTCGTACTTTCAGTGTATATGTTTCTCTTAGAGGGAAATGTTCACTCCTCTCAATTTTCAGCAAATCTGTTCTCTTCCCTATAGTTTCATTTAATGCTCACCATTAACAGCTGCCATGTGTAAATATTTATCCTATTTTGTTAGCTTGGTATCCTAGAAATTATGTTTATGTGTCAGCACAGTCTGTTTTTATGTCCTTCCCCACTAATAACTTTTAAATCTGCTGGCCAATTCCTGTAAAAGAGTAGGGTCTCAGAAATATTCCTAATAGGGTCGTGAAAACAGGCAGCTAGAGAAAGGATAAAGACTAACCATATATCAAACTGAGCTCAGCTCAAGACACAAAAGTGAAAAGCCACACTGTGCTGATACCACTACGCTTCACCCATGTACTGCTCTCTTCATAGCTTACTGGTGCCATATTAGCCTTAACAACCTATTCACTGTTTCTCATTTGATGTCCAACGTTAAGGTCTCTGAAATCAGTCAAAAGAACCTGCTGAGCCCAGATAGCCTTGGTTCAGCCTTTGGGACCCATATACACACTATCAAATTCAATTACCAGCATTTCATGGGCTAAACATCCAAAAATCTCAGCTCCAAAGGTGACATAATTCAGTGATTCACTAACAAACTCTTCTGGCATCTTTGTAATAAGACCGGGTTTTTGGTACATTGTCATTGGAGTAGAAACACCATAAGGAGCCACTACCTAAAATAAGAAATCATAATACCAGTGTAATGTCATCCAACATTTACATAAGGCCATTCACTCCGCAGAATCCCACAGCATTTGACAAATTGTAACAGATATTTGCAATGGGTTAAGGTACTATGTGAAATAAGTAATGGTACTACGGTGGAATAGGAAAAAAGCTGCATACAGGGAGGAGACAGAGCTTTGACACGGTCACCCGGCACTTCACCAAGGATGGCTACACAATACAGATTTAGGCATCTGAGATACTGTTGAAGAATTTGTTAAAATTCTTCAATATGGCAAGATATAGCATTACCTGTATGATAATTCCCTTTGCCTTATACTCTGCTTGTAGTGCTTTGGAGAAAGTGCTTATAAAAGCCTAGAATAAGATAAAAAAAAATAACATTTGCATAGGGAACTAAGTACTTTCACATATCCTCACAAATACGTGTGAACAGGTCCTTAGCAAAAATGGCCAAGCATTATACAACCTAAGGCACGGTGCAGTGGTGAAAAACACAGAAACTAACTTTTCAAGGCACAGTTTCTTTGAGAAATATTCAGAAACAACAACATTGGATCAGTCCTCTATAATTAAAAATACAAAAGTCCTACTAACAAGAAAAAATGGCAGTGTTTCAAAGCCATCATTTGACAGGTCTTACAATTTAAACACCAATAGTGTCGTGATACTGCATGAAACATCAATATGCTGACAAGTAAAATGTTTTCCTTTCAGGGCATTGCAAAAAAACAAGTCCATTTAAAAAGAAACAAGGGTAGCAGATACCTAAGAATGAAAAAAAGACAAAATACTGGAACGAATGTACCATACCACTTCGAAATAATGTTAACTACACGTTTTTAAGGAACTAAAATTGTCTGGCTTGAATGTAGTTCAAGTTTTGAGTAATGAGAACCTTACATTAAAAAGAGAAAAAGGAAATGGAAAAATAGTCTTTCTTACCAAGAATAACTAGCTTTTTCTCTACCAAGCTGAACTTTAGCTATGTTCAAGCAAATATTGTTAGCATTTTTCATTTGAAGCAAACCTGAGCTGAACAACTTGCTTCTGGAGTTTCAGTAAAAATCATTCACTCCTCATTTTTATAAGCTCTGGGGTTTTAAGTCAGAGCAAAATTTCAAAGTGAAATCTGTGAAGGCAGGCAACTCACCACCCACCTACCAGGAATGTTATTCTTGGTTCCATAAGCAAAATCTAGCACTTTTGTGCATCTACAGTTTTGAGTAAACTAGCTAAGCCAGCCATCACTTCCCGGAATGAGGACAGATTGTCAGCACTGTTATAATACTATTTAATCAAAGGCAAAAATGTTCCAGTGATCAGACATAGCTTCGGCCGAATTTCATTCACATAGCTCCACTGCTGCTTAGTTCTCAGCTAATCTACATTACTTCATTATTTCAGTGGAACAACACCGACTTACATCCTGAAAACCTGTCCCTGCATTGCTGATACAAACGCTTTGGTAAACACTTGATGGGGATTTCTTTACAAAGCAATGTAAAGACTTACCTTAGAAGCAGAGTACATTGTGTATAATGGACAAGGGAAAGTACCGAGACCAGAGGACAGATTCAGAATAAGACCTCTCTGTCTGAAATTTAATTTAAACAGTTACATTCAATTTACATTTGACAGTATTATAGCAAAAGCCTGCACAAGTAGAAAACAACTTTTTTACCCCCAGAAGGCACAGCTGTCCTATTATACCATCGACTACACTTTCAAAAGACCCAGTTTTTACAGTTTAGTTAAGTGCAATTAAGTCTAAAACATCTAGGAATAATGTCATAAGTGAAATTTAAATCCCTAGTGCAATCAGAACCATGGGAACATTGTACATTCTATTGTACATCTAACAATGTAGATTGAGAGCAAAAAATGCCATCAGAGGAAAGATTTTATGCTTCTAAGTAATTGGTAGGTCCCCTTTGCTCATTAGCCAGCACATTCTTTTTCCTCCTCCATGCATCTGTTGTTTTAGCTTCCGTATTCACAACTCCCTGTATAAATCACTAAAAACAATTCATTCAGCAACAACCAGGAAAAAAACAAACCAAGACAATTAAACAGTAACAAAAAGCATGCACCAACCTCTAAAATGCTTAACAATGTTTTCTAGAAACTCTATCTGAAGACCTTAACTTCTGTTTTAAGGACCCCCATGTCTAAAATACACATTGTATTAAGAAGAGAAAAGGGTTCCTTAATTGCATAGCTTAATTAATCTCTCTGATGTAGCACAGGTATTTCCAGAGCTTGTAAAGTATTATTCCAAGCACAGCTACTACCCTTAGAAGAATACAACAGTATATTCAAGTGCTGTTTCTTGCCTAATTAGACCCATGACATGCCATTTTATTTCTGCAAAACCTGCAAGTTTTTACTGGACACAGACCAATATTTTATATTTTCTGTCTTGTTCTACAGTTGACTGACAATTTGTGGCAGTTCCTATCATTCATTTATACAGCACTAAGAGCAACAGAAAAAATCTTACTGATTGACATACTGCAAAGTGCAGAAGTTAACCATGAAAAAGCATAGATACCACTGAATAAACTGGAGGTAGCAGCTAAAAGCTATTGAAAGTTCTAGAAAAAAATATTTTTACCTTGGCTCCATTTGTTTCAAAATTATTTTTGTCATCTGTAAGACAGGTATGTTAAAGATTACATCTATTCTCCCTCTTTCTGACCATATTTTTCAACTGATCTTGTCTTACTCACAAGATTTTGCACTTGCTCAAGCCTCAGCCATATGTATACAGTTCAAATAGCTAAAATGTGGCACATTCAGTGTTTTGGAAAACATTTTAGAAATGCTAATGGCCTGCAAATCTTCTGAATTGTCAAAAAATTCCAAAAGTTAGTCTTCTAAGCAGTGAAAGTCTTATGTTTATCCACAGCTTTTCAACAGTATCTGAATTTCATCATTCTTCGATACTGAATCATAACTGTAAGGACAAAGTGAACTTCATTGTTTTTGCATTTTTGCTTCTGCCTCTACCTGGATCAGACATAACAGAAAATCATAAAAGACAATTTTTTTCCTGCTATCAAAAAGAACTTCAGGATCTTTTCTGATGCTAATTATTTAATCATCCATCCATCCATCCATCCATCCATCCATCCATCCATCCATCCATCCATCCATCCATCCTTATTTTAACAATAGACTTAATCACGCTTCTGATTTTTAAAGTGCAATTAAGTACTACTGACTCTGTATAAAAACACACATAGTGTATGAATCTTCTCAGGATAAGAGTGTGACCTAACTTGTAAAGGGCAGTAATGAAAAGTAGTGCAAATGAATGACGCAGCTTAGTTCTATCCCTGTTAATTCCCTATTTTTTCGGTAGTATCACTGTGCATAACAGGATAGTGGGAGCAGGGTGGGGTTCACAAGCTTTGTTTTCAGAAAGGACGACAATGCAGGTGGGTCACACATTGCTTTGGGTGAAGGGGAATTTCCAAGTAAAGTGGAAAACATAGGAAAAGGGCCTGCTTTTGCAGTGCTGAAAAACCCGCTGACTTCTGTGGGAGCCAGGAACAAACTCCTGGTACTTGGGCATCCCACTGCAACAAGCGGTGAGCCCGATCCCAGTAGGAATCAAGGTGGGGGACGATGACAACCCAAACAGATTTAAAGATGATTTGGACCTAACCATGAGGAATGCTGGTTAGGAGGATGATTTCTTCTTTGTATTTTGGAGGAAGGTGAATGTTCGTGACAGACTGAAAAGGACATGTTTGCCGCAGTGGGGGAAAGGAATCCCCAGGCCCTGGTGAAGCAGAGGTTGATTCTGAGGTATGTGTAAGGTGGGAAACGATAAGGGAGCAACCTCTTTGACTGAGAGGGTACAAAATGTTCACCTGTTTTTGTGAGGCATATATACACAGCATTCAGATACTGCAGATATTTCTGTTCTTTTGATGTATAAATAGAATAAAACCTAGGAGCAGAAAGTTGACCAAACAACCTCATGGAAGAAACTGGTTCAATTGACTGACGTTGCATGATTTATTATCTGAAGTCATTAAGCAGCGGTACAAATTTGGGATGTCACGTTTGCTAGCCAAAGAAAGACGAACATCTGTTGATAATTTTCATGTCATGTTTAGAAAGACATTAGCCAAGGTTGAGATGAACTACAAAGCTCTTGTTCTGCTCTTGTTCATGTTAACATGCTGCTTGCAAACGGCAGAGAAATACAAATCTTAATCAGAAGTGGAAAGCATGAAATACTAACTGTTCTTTTAAGGGAAGGAGCCAACCAAAATTAGCACCAAGAGATGACAATACAGAATTGGAAGTCAGCTCCTTAAGTTCCTGTCCTGCACTGATATAAAAATGTTTTTGCCAAACAGAACTGTGACAAAAAATGCAAGTACGGTACAAAAAGTCAAACTGCAGATCTTCCCGTTTTGAAGATTGTGATGCTGGAACACATCTCCCTGTTTACCAAAGCAAATATGTTTTTGCAAAATGTTTCAGCTGTAGCACAATGATGTGTCTCAACCAAGCAACTGTGTTAAAATGTCTCCTGGCAGGTCTTGATCAAAATATTTCATAGGCAGTAGAAACAGATGGGGTC